CAGGATTGTGTGCAGAYACTTCTGGAATATCACCAGTGAGGGAGACTCCACACCCTCTCTAAGCAATCTGTCCCAGCACAGTCAGAACCTGCACAGTAAAGTTCTTCCTCGTGTTCAGATGGAAYTTCCTGTCTTCCAATTTCTGCCCATTGCCTCTTGTCCCACTGCTCAGCACCACRGAGCAGAGCCTGGCTCCAGCCTCTGAGCCCTCCTTTCAGATGCTGATCGGCATTGACGAGGTCATCTCTCAGTTGTCTCTTCTGGGGGCTGAACAGCCCCAGCTCCCTCAGCCAGTCCTTGTAAATAGATGATCCAATCTTCTTCCCCTGGCTGAGAACTGTGCAAAGAGAGGGAAACCAGCATAGAAAACAGATCACARCCCAGACTTCTGTCTCGGTCCTAGAACTCCAAGCACTCACCTTTTAAGAGACACTTAAAGCAGAAGAAGTGGAGAGTTTTCTATCTTACTCTGAGCTGGGCAGGAAAYCAAGACTGAGAAGAAAACACTTCTCTTCCAAGGAGCTGGTGGCATGATGTAGGAAGAAGTGTAGCTTTTCAAGGCAGCATCAGCCAAGAGCAGGCTGGCACAGCCTCCCACTGGGTGCCCTGTGATGGATTTCCCATTTGAGGCTGCATGACAACAGCTGCTGCAGCCCCTGCTAAAACTTGGCAGTTTGAGGGGTCACATTCAAACTGTACAGTTTGCTGAATGGCAGATGAAGTCTGGCAGCAGGGGTGAAGGAGGCAGCAGCCATGCGAGTGCACTTTGCCCTAAACTCATTTTAAGTGTAAATCCACTCAAAATGGCAAGCCCACGTGTTTTTGGGGTTTTTTTTTTTTTTTTCCAGTTCACATAACCTAATGCCTGATTCCCTTTTATGCACTGAACAATTTCCCTGGCTGTTTTGTTATCTTTCTCGGATGGCATTTTCTAGCTAGAAATGCAACAGCAGTCTGACATGGGTGCACTGTAGGAGAGTCCAATGCTCGCATGAACAAAGCAGGAGACTGCAGTGTCCCACATTATCTCATTAAGAGACTTTTGTAGGTCTGCCTCTGCTAATGTAAACCCATTATGGGATAGAACAGCAGCAGTTGTTTTCACATGGATGGATCCAAGTCCGAGTGTTGAATTATTTCTGTATTCTTAACTGGGTTCTTAAGTATTTTTTTTAATGTTGCCTGAGAGCTAAGTGGCYTTGTGCTACACTTACTGAGTAACTTTTGCCCTGTTGCAGCAGACCACTGACAGCTGATTAATAGCAGTGACCTGCTCTCTGCTCTGACACCGCACTGATGCTGTGAGGAGAATATTTGTAGGAAGAAAGTGTTTCACAATACCCATCCAAGAATAAGAATAATGTTGATGTTGCAGGCTCTGAACAATCTGTGATGCTCCAAATAATCAAAGACATTGTGGCCTATGTTTTACTCTCTCTGACTGTGGCTTTAGCAACATAAACCTCCCTAACAGATAAGAATGAACTCCAAGTCCATGGTTATGAAAATTGGGGTGTTTTTTTTTTTGAAGAGTATATGATATCTTTTCATCATCTTTGCACCTAGAAAGTGGACTGTTTGTCTAACAAGGGGAGAGTGACACTAACAGCTTAATGTTCCACATAAAAGAGTAACAGAACCTGGAAGTTAAGAGCACTGGGAGCAGCAAATTTCCTTTGGAAGTGTGAGTTGGGTGCTGCAACCCTGCCCTGAAACACTGGGGCTGAAGAAAGCACAGGGTTGTTTYACAGAAACAGTGTATCAATGTTTCTGAAACAAATATTTCAATTTATGTTTCATAGAAAAATAGCCCTGTTAAACAACTTCTTTTCTTTCCTGAATGGCAGCTAAACCAAACAGCATCATTYCAGTGCCACAGGCATTGCAAACTTTGACCAGCTATTGGCAGAGGGAAAATCCACTCTGTGCTAAGCAGGTGTCACTATTTTTCAGCTCCATCCCACCTTAACTATCTGGAGAATGACATTCAAGTGCAGAGGTCAGTGAGGGGGGAGCCCCCCAGTGCTGCTGGCCAGCTGAGCCGATAGCAGAGACCATACATGGATTTGGAATGAAGGGCAGTGGACTCACAACCTCGCCGGTGCCAAGAAACACACAGCTAAAATCGGCAGCTCCGAGATGAGTAATGCACAAACAGGGTCCAGGGTGTTACAAGTGTTCAGGCACTTCCACAGTGTGTTGGGTAAATGAGTATCTGTTTCCATGGCACCAAAACAGCRCAGAGATCACGCCATGTCCTTCAGCGGCTCTCTGATTCTGTGCCCAGGGAATGAGAGCAGAGCTGACCTCCAGGGAAAGAACGCCCTGGCTCCATCGTGGAGRGGCACGGAGAGATCCCCTGTTCCTCTCAAAGCAATGCCTGTGGGCAAAGGCTGCCTGAGGGCTGCTGGCAGCCAGGTGRGCCACCAGCCACCCCCCAGAGCCCAGCCAGCCCTGCCYGAGCCCAGCCTTTGGGCTGGAAGRTGAGGGGGCTCCACATCTGACAGAGGACTTGTGATGCTTCTTCTGTGTAGTGAGATGGGAGGGGTTTTTTTTTTGTGAGAAAATAATGAAACTGTAGAGCTAAGAAGCATGCAGGATTTCAGAGTGCTTTTATATGGCATGGGGAGGATACTCAAGGTGTTAGGAGACTCTGTCCTTGTCCAGCAGCCTCTTCAGAAAATATCACTTACATGGGCTGGCCCATGCCCACTTAAATTGTTTAAAATGGGATCCACAGCGAGGTTCTCCCACGCAGAGAGGRAGCACACAAGCAGCTGCTTTACTTTGCATGCCTACTGAAACCAACGGCAGAGCAATTTATTATTCCTCTATTAAATATGCAAATGAAGTATGTTAACCCCGAAACTGTGCCAATTAGCTGTGCCCAACTCCCTCAGTCAGATGATAGTTTTAGAGTGGCCAAAATGATTGCCTTACCTGCAGCAAGGTATTGTGTGCCRTGGGATTCTTTGGCACAGAAATTATTATTACAAGCAAGAGTAAATTACAAYTACTATTATGCCATTGAAGATATTGCTGTAATGCCCCTGGCACCYTGTCCTCATCAGTGACCCCTGCAGCTGGCAGCTGCTGACGTTTTTCCCCAGGCATCCACACCCACCCTCCCTTCCCACCTCAAGATAGCGCATGACTGATGCTTTGTTGCATTACGTTGGTAGGAACATTTTATCCTATTAAGGCACCTCCAGAAGCCAGATGTTCTGTTTTAGTAGGGACTTCCTTTTTTAAAAACAAGCATTTCTGAGCTGATGTTATTTTTATTCAGTTGTCCCTGTGAAACTTCCAAAGACAGATTTTTGCTTGGCAATGCCATAGCAGGGTACAAGGGAGAAATTGCTGTCTCTGCCTGCATGTGTACATGTACCCAGGGAACCTACTCAGGGACACTACTGACACTGCAAAGCTGAGGATTCATGTCTTAGGAAATTGCTTGATTAAATCACGCCTGCAGGCCCACTCCARCTTTGAGGTATGTAATCATACACTCTTTATCACAAGGTCATCTGTTCTTCAGAGGCCTCTGTTGGACCTGATCAGACTTGGAGTCAGGAGTCTGTGTTGCAGAAAGCTTTTGCCTATCAGATTTCCAAGTCTTTTGTGGCAGAAGTCAAAAGGTGTCTTGTAAACTAAATAGGAGGCGAGGAGGACGTCCCTTCCCTGGCACCTGGACTYCACACCAGCCTCTGCCATGGATTTCCTTTCTGAACTGTGTTAAGTCACTTCCACCAACTTTAATTTTCTCACACAAACCCCTAGAGACAGACTTGCAGCCGTGCTGAGCTCCTGTAGCTGCAGGGAGTGCTCCAAACCAGCCCCAATCAGCCTTCCAGTTTGCTCTGAAAAACCAGACATGATGTGGTGAGCACCACTCACACAAATTGACTGAAATTCTTTCACCTTTCCATCACTGATATAAGGATAATACCTTCCTCTGATGTCATGAAAATGTTAATGTTGTCATCATGARGTGCTGAGCTGTGAGAGCCTTGTGCTCCCAGAGATGGGACACAATGCAATGAATATTCTCAGTGTTCAGCACAGACCTTGAAAAGTATACAGTTAACAAAAGGAACAAACTTTCCCCACAGGACCTCTCCCTCCTCAACTGGAAATCATAATTTCTTTTATTCTTACAATTTTTCATATTTTGTAACATTCAGGAGTCCAAAGATCAGTRAGTCTCAACATGCTCTGAACTCCCTGGCACTTAAAGCTCTAACATAGGCAAATGCTGAAATTAGAAATGAGCCATGGGACAGATTTTCCCATGCTTACTAATCAAGAGTCACTGATGTGAGGATTTCTCTCCCAGGCTAAAATCTGTCATCTTTCTCCAGCACAAAATTTATTTAGCAAATGACAGGAGACCTGTGACCCCTGTAAGTGTGGGCTTGGATAGTTATAATTTCTAACTCTCAGGTCYCACCATTACAGCCACCCCATTTCTGTGTTATTGCAAGGCTTGGTGGCTTTGGCTGTTTAAAAAAACATGAGTGTCTTGAGGTYAGGCTGCCTGGAGAGTGACCTGGTAACAGCCTGTTTGCTGAATCTCTGAGTCATGAAAAATGAAAATAGAGAAAAATTTACYAGAGAACCTCATCCATTCCTCCAGCCGATAAAGTACAACTCCCAAGAGTATTATATGCACTTCATATCTCTGTGTGMTCCAGTTTTAAATTATATTTCTATACCATTCTATAAACTATTCCACAGTATGAGTGTTTGGAAGCTTTTCTTGAACTTCATATTTCGGGGTTTTCTTCCTCTGCATATTCATATAATTACTTTGAGATTTGGCTGTTAAAACATAAATGTGGAAGTTGATCAGTGTTTTAATGATCAGGAGGTGGGGGAGGTTCACAGATCAAGGCTTTCAGCACTGAGGTTTCATGACTATTAGCCAGACAAAAAGAAAATGTGTAGAGTGCAATGAGCAGGTCGGCTTCCGAGGTGACCTGGCTAACTTGGATGTCTTTTTGTCTTGCAGAAGATGAAGCCCATCGTCCAAAGAAGGCGCTCTACCTCATCTGCCATTACTAAAGCTCTTGGCAAATCWAAGTCCCATTCCAGGTAGGGAAATACTTTCTGACTCCTGTTTCCGTCTTCCTGCCTATACAGACTGAAATCAAACTGCTTTTCAAATCCATTTAACAACGTTCAGTGCAATTTGGTCCCGCAACTCTGTGTTTGTGCTGAAGACAGATAATGGGATACCACAGTCCTTTCTGCCTTGCTCTGACAGCAGCCTTGTAAATAACATTTCCTGGGGGATTTGTTTGGTTTGATTTTTTTTTTTTTTATTTCTTTGTAAGCAAGAGATGATAAAGCTGAGCTGATTGGCAATTTGGTCTGGGCCAGCCCTCCCGAAGAATATTCCTTTTGTATCACACCATTGTTGATCGATGCAGTGTACATCCTGCTTGTCTGGAATGAGTTGGGGKGATCAGTCTCATGGGATCTTTTAACATATAGAGTAGGATTTTCATTTGGWTATCATTTGACAAAATTATGTGGCTTCTTTGTCCTTCCTCCCACCCCCTCTAAATTGCACTAGGGGAAAAAAAAGTGAAGAAGAGAAACAAATTCTTGACTTTATTTGGCTGGAGAACATCCTTGTGAGGGAGGGAAGCTTTAAGTGTATCTTGTGATGGATTGCTTTGGAGGGAGCTGGTCCAATGCCATCTTTGCTTAGGCCACCAGAACATCAGTGAGGTTTTTTTTGCTATCCTGCTGTTGTGTTTATAAAGCTGGGTAATCCTCCAGCTTCAGGAAATCCACTGCTGGGGTTGTAAGATGCTGTGGCTCCCACTGCTCTGATGGGCATGGAGAGGTTTTAATATCATATCTGAAGGTGATTTAGCTTCTCACTTGTAGCTGCATAAGCTGAGAATTCATTTGTTGGTGGCTGTGTAGTGGTGAGGTGTTTGCTGAGTGCAGGTGTTCCTGTGATTGGGGGATGATTTTAATAAGGATTCTAACCTCACTGCTSTGAAATCAAATGAGTTCACTTATGGGGCCAGTGGAAACTGAGTTAAGACCAACAACATCAAAAAYACTACACTTACAGCTCGTGTGGCTTTTCATTTGTTTGTGTAGAGTGCCCTCAGACTAGAGGGTAGAGCAGAATTGCTGAGGGATGAAGGGAGGACAGGCATGCTTGCCTGCAGGCAARATACACATTTTTGTCTRTGTGCGGAGACGGAGGAACTCTGAGTGCTTTTTATCTGCATCAATCTAAGGCCATGTCTCAGAGGTTCACTGATCAAGTCAGGGTCAGGCACATGAACAAGGATCAGCAAAGAATTMTTCCACGTTCCCACAGCACATCCCAGACCCAGAGATGGCTGTGGGAGCTGTTGTGCCCCAGCTGCCYTGAACCCAGTGCTGAGGAAGGGCAGGCAAGGAGGTTGTGCTTGGCAGGAGGGCTCTTCCAGCTGGAACAGCACCAGACAGGGTCGGGTTCAACCCCTACACTGCCTTGTTGACTGCGGACAGCACACAAAAACCCACGGGGTTTTCAGAAAGGGGGAGCACCTATGTGAATCTCAGTGGAAACAACAAGCTGGACRGCAGCCAGGCAAGCCAGAATCAGATGTCTGGAATTAGATGAGTACATGGAGTTCATTTTCTTTACGCTGCAACTCCTGTGCTGACAAATTGTTCAGTCTGGATGGAAAACATGCACGGAAAGGGCAGTGCCCCCCACGCCCAGCTRAGCCACGCTGTGAGCCGTGGGCTTTCCATGATCAAGTCACAGCTCACACATATGTGCAGGAAGTAATTCTTTTACCTGAGTGAGAAATTACTCAAAAAACCTACTATTTCAGCAGCTTAACCTCACAAGGTTTGGTGTAGACATTGAGGCAGTTTTCCATCTGTCTAAGGCTGGTAAAGTTGATTGTGCAGAGGCAGGTGAATGTGGGTCATAATAGAGAGCAACTGGGGCAGTGCTGGGAGGAGCACTGGGCTGTAGGGTTCCTCTAAGACAGATGCCTGTGTCARCCTTCTAAGAAAAGCTTCTGACAAAGTCCTGTGATTTTTCTTACTCCTCCAGGGAAACTACTCTTTCCTCTTCCCATTCAGACAATGGGCTGCCAAGTGGGGTGTTCAGCAGCCCAGGCTCCACCTTCATCCTGGACGAGCGAGTACAGCTAACCGTGGGCCTGCAGACCCAGGAAAGACATCTGATTTTGTTCAGTGATGTGCTGGTCATTGCCAAGTCCAAGTAAGAGGAATTCCCACTCATTCCTTTTCCCCAGTAGCCACTGTTGAAGTTGGGCTCAGCTCATGGCAGGATTTTTGGGGCTGTCCTGTGCAGAGCCAGGAGCTGGACTCAATGATCACATGGGTGCCTTCCAACTCAGGAGATTCTATGATTCTRTGAGGCTCTGATSCATWTGTGGGGCAGWCAGCMGCCTTCAAAACAATGCTTCTTTAGAAACGTGGACATAAAATGTGACATTTGCCCTTCCACCTTCACAAATTCTTCTTGGTGTTAATGTTTCACTCCATTTGTCTGAAGGGAAAAGTGGTCTAATCAGTGTTGCCCTTTCCCTTGTGAGGTTACTTGAAGATAACCCTGGGGGCAAGAGGTAGAAGGACAAAACCAACTTTTGGTCTGACTCCATCTGCCACATGTAAATTAAGAGCTGTCACTGCATCTGCATGACTGGAAGGGGGCATGAGCAGACTCTGGAGATCTAGATCTTAATCTCTGGCCTAAGGAATGAATAATTTCCATTGCAGATCCTCCTCCAGCCTGAAGCTGAAAAAGCAAGTCCATCTGAGYGAAGTGTGGACCGGCACCTGTCTCAGTGAAGTGACGGAGAAAAAGATGAGTCCCGAGAATTCATTTGTCATCGGCTGGCCTACCACCAACTATGTTGTCACCTTCAGGTATGTTATCAGACCTCCCTCTGCATCCCAGCAGCTACTCAGGTCTCCCATGTGTCAGGTGAAACAATGACTGAGGCTACAGGGCCCATTTCCTTTTCCATTTCCTTACCCTGAAACCTGGGTAGCCTGTTCTGGCAGCAAAAGCTTCTAGGAATGGCAGACATTGGGAAGGAAATATCAGGAGTAAGAAAATAACAATTAAAGGTCACTGCAAAAATAACGAGGGCCCACAAGATGAGTTAATTCCAKCTTCACAGAAAGGGATTTGTCCCTTATCTGAACACTCACCAGTGTGACAGGAAACATGGTCCAGTTTGTTGCTGGGATTTTTTTGTTATTATTATTTTTATTATTTGTTAAAATAGAACAGAAGAAGGAAAGGACTGTGCTTTTGTTCCAGGGATTTTCAGGAAGCAACTTTGACTTACAGCCATATATAAATGAAATTGGGTAGAGTTTCCAAAGGCTGTTACCCATTCAGCACATGTTTGATGAAATGCTTCCCTTTTTGTCTCCAGCTCAGCTGATGTGAAGGAACGATGGCTGTCAGCRTTACTGTGGTGAGTGACCCTCCTTTCCTCCTCCTTCGAGGTGATCCTCTATMGGCCTTAGAGAAATTTGCCTGTAAACTGTGCTCTGATTTTCAGCATGTTAAKTGTCTAAGTACTGTTTGAAAAATCCACCTTTGAAATGTGAATATAGATGCCCTGGGTCAGCGCAAAATTGGTGTTAACAGTTGGGAAAAAAGGGGATCCATCAGAAGGTGATATTGTTGGAACATCCTTTTCCCTTTGGAGCTGAAGGTTGCCTTTGCTAATCGCTGTGGAACTGTCACAAGTGTTACTGATTCTTCAGATGTTTTTACATTTGAACTAAAATCTTTATTTCGTTGCATCTAGAGGCTACAGTTTTTTCTTTTTCCTTTTATGTTTTATATCTTGCTTCCACTAACATCCAGACAAAAGCATTTATATAGGGACAGAGAGGGGAAGAAATCTTCTGATTTGTGGAGAACWGCAGTGATCCTGAGGGAACACTGGAATTGAATTATGCAGGACACATCTGTTTGCACTGAATTACTGCATGTGGGGGGATTGTTAATCTTTGRGCTCCAGGTAGATAAGGATGTCAGTAAGAGCATGTGACTGTACCATGAACATCCCATTCATATATCATAATTAATCTGTATTTATTACAATGCCAAGGAGGATGCCCCACCCAAATTCTAGGGTCCATCTCAAGTTTGGGTGGGAAATTATAYTCCTTCCCCTTTTCTTTGACTTTCAGGCATATCAATGATGTAAAACAAAATGAATACCCAAAGGAGCTGACCCTTCAGATCTTCGTCCTGGATGAAGACAACTCCTCTTCTGTAAGTAAAGCCAAGAACCTGTTCATCAGATCAAGACTACACAGGGGTCTGTGGAGTAGAGGAGGGAAGGCAGGGCTGTKCTGGTATTCCAGTTTCAAATTCAAGTCTGACTAAAAAGGTTTTAGAGGGTGTGTATGTGGGTATCTGCATCCTTCCCACTAAAAGCCCACTTGGAGAGTTGTGGTTTGAGAAATAAGGAGTTAGTCAGACCCTTACCAAAGAGCACTTAATTCCTAAGATTATTCTTCACCTCTGASTTCTTTTYTCTTTTCCTTTTCCTTCACTTCAAAATTCATGACAGTTTGTGGCTGAGTGCCCAGTCAATTCTTATTTCCAGTGCTGTGAGTTGAGGATATTGATCATGAAGTCACAGGTGTGTTGTCCTGAATATTTACTGGAACGTGTCCCAGTCTAGCATACATTTCTTGGCTGATGGGATCAAACACAGCCTCTGAGCACCACCCACCTCCTGTGATTTCTGCTGGAGGAAATCTTTGGATGGTGTGACAGAAGTAGTAGAGAACAGTTTCACATTGTAGAGCCATCATCCTTTGTGGGGTAGCTCAAATTAATACAACTCATTCAACCACGTGCATTTAGTAAAGAGTTGTTAGACAGAGATGGACATTTTCCCCAGATTTTCCAGCTACAAGAAACTGCAACCAAACTTCTCACCTTTGTATTAGCTTCCTATATTTTCTCTGTTTGCCTTTCTAGACCACTGCAGTCAACGTGTCCAATGTGGAAACTGCAGAGAGTGTGATGAAGAAGGCCCTTGTGCAGCTTGGGCTCCCTGTAAGTGGCAGTGACCAGATCTTATCTAAGGATGCTGGCAGMATCTGGTTTAGAGGCTGTGTGGGTGTGGAAAAGCCTAGATTTGCTCTCTACTGCTTTCTGAGTGGAGGGCAACCTCATGGACCCTCACTCTGGCTCCTCTGAACTAACATTTTTCTCTTCTCTGTTCCTCACCAACAGGACAGGACCAGTGAACACCACCTGTGGGTGGTCTCAGGAAAAGATGAGCCTGCTTACCCWCTCATTGGTAAGAGCCCTCCCATATTGGGGACCATCTTAGTGCTCAATTCTGGCACCAAAGGAACAAGTGTTGAATGACACCAGGGTGTGTGGCAGAGAAACATCACAAACATTGCACTCTTCACTTAAAAAGCAATGGTAGGGACACTGTTGCTYATGTGAGATGTGACATCAAGCTGCTGTGAGATGTCACTTGACTTTTATGGTCTCAGCATCCACATTTAATCAAAGCAATAGAAATAGAAGAAACGTTTTAAAACAAACCATTGAATTTTGTCTGTTAAGTGCTAAGCATCCATCATGGCGACCATCAAAGCTGSAATTTTCCAGTAACAGTAAGAGTTTTTAATCATACCTCTGCATCTTTGCTTGTTCTTAACACAACTGTGCTCAACAGGGCACGAGCATCCCTTCAGCATCGCCTTGAGCTGTCTCCGGGACTCTCCTGACCAGCAACAAAGAACCAACAACAACACTCTCCTGGCTGATGGGACAGAGGCTTCCTTCCTTGCTCAGCTCCCAAAGGAAAAGCAGTGTCAGTTTGTCCTGAAACCCARGCTCCAAGCTCCGATGCAGCTGAGGAGAGGTGAGGGCTGCAGGGAAGTGTTACAGCCAGAGAGAGACTTCAGTGCTGAACTCTTCCTGGCATCATAAATGTATCCCAGAGTTGCTCTCATACCTGAATGTAATGTAAAGAGGAAGAGAGGTGAAATTTGTCTGTGCAAACATTCAGATTTTRTTTCAGTCCTTCATTATCTTCTACTGCAAGTGATTATTATAGAATCATAGAATATGCTGAGTTGGAAGAGACCCATYGAGTCCTGGCCCTGTACAGGACACCCCAAGAATCCCACCATGTGYCTGAGRGCATTGTCCATGTGCTTCTTGARCTCAGACAGCCTTGATGCTGTGAYCACTGCCCTGGRGAGCCTGTTCCAGTGCTCAACCATCCTCTGAGTGAAGAACCTTTTCCTGAGATCTAACCTAAGCTTCCCCTGACTCACCTTYGTGCCATTTTCTCAAATCCTGTCTATGGTCACAAGAGTGAAGAGATTCTTACACTGCAGAGACAGCGAGATTCCCTAAAGAATGRTGACTGAGAGTGTTGCTGATGGGTGAGAGATGAACAAGTGTTTCACTGCTGTGTGTTGTCTGACCATCCCCATTAAGAGTGCAGTTAATGAACAGATAAGGGTAGGAAGTCCTTGTTCTGCTGGGAACTCACCTCTGCTATAGATCACTCACTGGGCAGCAGGAGGACAGGCAGGTGTGTGATAAAGGTGTGTGCTTTCTTTCAGAGCCGCTGCAGAAGCACACCAAGAGGAAGAAGTCGCTGATTGACTGGGCCCTGCGCCGCAGCACCAGCACCCCCACGGGCAGCCCTCCCTCACAGTCACCCACCACACCACGGAAACTCTTTGGCCTGTCCCTGTCCTCTGTCTGCCCTGATGGAATCCTTCCCAAGCCAATCATGGTGAGGAGCAGCCTRGACTGCTTGTCTTGACATAAGCTTGATGTGTTTAGCCCAGAATTGAAAGCCACCTGCAGTATTTGAGAGGATTGAATGGGGAAGAGAACCATCATTCACTTATGATTCAACTCAGCAAGGAGGGTGGGAACAGCCCTCTCCTGGGCAATCCCTATCACTTCACTCACAGATGTCTGTCCCGTGTCTCCAGGTTATCACCAGCTGACAAGGGGCAGTGTCAGAGCCTGCCATGCTACACAGCCTAGAGCTCACCCACTGCCCTGGGCTCACACTTGTCACAGGATCAGTGTGCCCACATRAACTGCATCTGCAGCTTGGCTGTCAGGTTCTTGTCCCTGGTTAAACCAGGATAAATCTCTTGTATTGTTTWCTTCCCATTATTGACTCGATCTTATGCTAATTATGTTACAACACATGATATATAATACACACAAACAAAAGGGTGAAGTGTTAGGCTCTAAAGTACAACTGSGTTTTCTCTTAGGATATGCTGCTCCTGTTGTACCATGAAGGTCCCTCCACTAGGGGCATTTTCAGACGTTCTGCCAATGCCAAGACTTGCAAGGAACTGAAAGAGAAGCTGAACTCTGGAGATGATGTTCAGGTGGATGGAGAGTCAGTCTTTGTGGCTGCAGCTGTCATCACGGTATGTYTGGCCAAGTAACTCAGCTCTCTSGGCTAATGGCACCTTCCTTCTTTAAGGAAGCAATGAGTCTTTATGGGTAGGGAAGATTTCAGGGGAACAGAAGGTATTTTCCAGCAAGGAACGTTTTCACCTGATGGCCTGGTGTGTCTGTGTACACAGAGGGATCTGCCCAACACCGTGATGCTGGTTTTCACCTGCAGACCTGTGCAGACCCTCGGGATGGGGCTCCCTGTGGCACCTCCCTGTACCAAACCACCCCCAGCAGGAGAGACAGTGATGCCCACCTGCAGGATAGCCATGATGTCTTTACAGTGCCAAATAATGTGACAAATTCTGCACTGACCCATCCATAAAACCATCAGGTGGCAGCAGCACAGATGTCCTTTGTAATTTTTGAATGCAAAGGAGAGGCTGCAGAAAGTTTGGGAGACTTGTGTCATTTGAGGGCAGCTGCTCAGAGTCCCCAAAACAGGGCAAAAGAGCTGACCTGGGTTCTCTGGACCCCAAGCCTTYCCCTCTGATCGGCCAGCAGCAAGGGGGAAAGCAGCTGCTAAATCCAAGCAGAGGGGTTGTGGTGGTGGGGGGATGAACTTGTGATAAGATCCATGTTACAGTAGGGAAAAGCCTGTATTTTACCCCATCAGTTAAATCTGATCAGAATTATTTAAGCACCAAAAGTAACCAGAAAACACYCCCTTGTTCTTGTTGGCCTGATATTCAGGCGCTTTCCAACACAAGACAGATATTGAGTTACTGAATATCCCCTGAGAAAAAAAAAAAGCAGAAATGTTTCAGAGATTTGTGCAGWGCCTCAGGGCTCAGTCCTCTGCTGCAGTGGAGGTCAGTCCTGCTCTGGAGAAGGGGCAAAACAGGAGGAGCCTGAGGAGGACAGCTTGGTGGGCATGGGAGGGGAGGACAAACATGTTTGTGTCATGTCTTGTTTTATCTTGTGCTTAATGTGAATAAACAGTGACTATATGCATTGTGAAATCGAAACCAGGAATTCAAAACTGACCAGACTGCTCTGCATATATATATTTAATTCAGGATTTTCTCCGAAATATACCTGACAGTGTTCTATCCTCAGACATGCACGGACTGTGGATGGAAGCTGTGGACACAGAAAATCGGGCACATAAGATTGAAGCTATCAAAAGGTTTGTAAAAGCCTTTGCAAAAGTTTCTTTTGGTGGGAAAAAGGGGAGCACATAGCCCTAAGAATTGCCTTCATTTTCTGGGAAACTGCTGGAAATGCTCCAGGCCACAGTGGAGAAGTTATTGCTGATTGCCAGTGTCACCGATCAGAACATTTTCTTTCCAATTGTCTTTTTTGAACATCCTTAACATTTCTGACCCCCAAAAAGTAATTAAAAAATTCTTTTCTGATGACCAGTTCAAATTACTAGCATGAGTAAACTAAAAAAATAAAACACAATAATTCAGCCACTGGATTCAAACACATAATTCAAACACTGCATCAGTGGTAGGAGAATCAGATCTTTAATGACAGTAACTTTATTTAATGTGCAAGAAAYGAGGCTGATCATCACACTGGCAGTCAGAAGAAACAGCCCTGTCCAGSTGGTGACTGGGACCTTGAAAATGGCTTTACTGCCTTGAAACTGCTGCTCTGAGCAAGAGCAGTTTATCAGCATCCTGTTAGATATTCAGTATATTCAACCATGGCTCAGCTCAGCTCAGCTTTTGAAGGTTTTTGAACCTTGCCATGCAGCCTGGCCCTTCTTTCTCCACGGGGGAGAAAGCACAGGACATGGCAGTGGTGTGCTGCTGCTCTGGAGCTGTACACATCTCCTCCCTGCTTTATCAAGGCTTTGTGGGTTCCCTCCCCCATCTCTGAGCCCTTGTCCCTTGTCCCTGCAGCTCTGTGACCAGAGCAGGTGGGCAATGTGGGTGCAGAGCTGTGGCTCTCATGTGAGCTGATGCAGGGGAGAGACAGACTCACCTGATTATCAAATATGAATATGTCAGAATGGGTACAGAGGGACAGAAGCGGGGAAAAGCTTTGGGAGGCAACTTGTGGTATTTGAAGAGTGGATGTTTGTGAACAGCACTGTTCTCCTTTGTTCCCACCCCATGCACAGTCTCGTCAACCAGCTTCCAGAGGCCAACCTCATCTTACTCAGACACCTCTTTGGAGTCCTCCACCACATTGAGCAGAATTCKGGGGTGAATCAGATGAATGCCTTTAACCTGGCCCTTTGCATAGCACCCAATATGCTGTGGCTGCCAAGTCCCACYGGGCCTGAAGAGGAGAGCCGCTCTACAAAGAAGGTAATCTTGGGTTTGGCCTCCCCTCTGCGTTCCCTTTCACTGCTTTTGGTGGGCACTGCCTTGTGCAGTCTGAAGGTGTAACAATGTGGGRARYRGAGYACATAGACCTCTGTTAGCAGGTTYAAAGAAATCCTTTCTTCTCCAAAAGCTGCSCCTCTTTATACTTTCAAGTCTCGCAGGCTAGACAGGGATTGGCTGTCTGCTCCACAGAGCCACCRCCCACCGACCTTCTTATCCAATCACATCTCTGGTTGGGCAGTGTCTACAGGCTGTGTTAACCAATCACAGCTTGACACACTGAGAGGGGGCATGTCAATCATACAGGCTGCTCCCTGGTCACATGACCTGCGACCTTGTGACCTGTCACATAACCTGCAGCCTTGTCATCTATCACGTGATGACATTAAGCCTTGTGACCCATCACATGACATTCCATCTTGTTATCTATCACATGACCTGCAGCCTTTGTGACCCGTGTCATGACCTGTAACCTTGTGACCCATCACATGACCTACGACCTTGTGACCCATCACATGACCTGTGACCTTGTGACTTGTCACATGACCTGCAGCCTTGTGACCTGTCACATGACATTCCATCTTGTTATCTATTACATGACCTGTAACCTTGTGACCTGTCACATGACCTGTAACCTTGTGACCCATCACATCACCTGCGACCTTGTGACTTGTCACATGATCTGTGCCCTTGTGACCCATCACATGACATTCCATCTTGTTATCTATCACGTCTATCACATTATCTATCACGTTATCTATTCACATGACCTGCAGCCTTTGTGACCTGTGTCATGACCGGTAACCTTGTGACTCATCACATGACGTGCGACCTTGTGACCTTGTGACCTTGTGACCCATCACATGACCTGAACCCTTCCCAAATTCTGGGATTCACCTGGGGTGAAGAGGATCCAACAGAAGCTCATTCCATAGGGCTTTGCCTTAACCCCAACAGCACAGCATAGGGTCAGGGACAGTGGCTRTGGGTGCTGAGTGGCACCCAGGCCTTGTCCTTTCCTCTGTGCAGCTGTGCCTGTGCTGGGAGGGGTTTGGCTCCTCAGACTGTCCAGGGGGAAAAGGGGAGCAGTGCTTGCTTCACCAGATGAATTTCCTATGTGATCAAGCAAGCATCAGAAGGTTAAAGTCAGACACTGCCACCTCAGCTGGGACAAAGAAAGCAATGAGCATGACAGGGCCCAAATTCTTGATTGCAGCTCATGAGGTGTAAGAAACAGTGAAGAAAATTGTAGAATGTGCTATATCTGGCTCACAGTACCAGTTCACGTAGCTCACATTCTTACCTCAGGAGATCCTACAGATGCACTGCCACATTATTAACAGCTTCTTGAGGAATTATATCTTTGAAAAAAAGAAAAAAAAAGGAATGATATGGGTATGATTTTACTTGCTCATGAAACTGAATCTGTGAATTCCTGTCTTTGCCAGGTGGCCTTGTTAGTGCAGTTCCTGATTGAAAATTCAGGAGAGATTTTTGGGGGTGATATTGCTTCCTTGTTCCAAAGACCTGACAAAAAGAAGTCCAAAAACTCAGCAGAATCTCTGGGTAAGTTGGTGGTAGTGTATCTGCCACAAATATTTAAAATTTTTTAACAGGCAACATCYTCAGACAAAAGAATTTGCTTTATCTTCATGTTTCTTCTAAGGAGAAGCATTGAAAAGTTTGGTTTGCTTTTCCCTTTGCCTGTCATGCACAGGTGGGAAGAGATGCAAAGCAGAGGGCTGAGAGGCAGAACCTCAAACCCAGGGATGGTTTTTCTTTCTCTGTGGCTGTTGTTAAACCTACTKTAGCCATCTCAAGGGTTTAATGTAGCCTTAGCCCTGCCATGTCCCGGCAGTCTTTTTTTCCAGGTTAGTTCTGTAAAGCTAAATTTGAATGGAAAGAGTTGGAGTTGTCTCTGTTATCTATCCTATGAATACAGGCCAGTGGTGAAAATGTAGGTCATCAAGCCAGAATATTTTTATTATTTCCTGAGAGAATAATGGATCATCTTTGTTTTTCCATGGGCTTGATATAATTTTGATTGTGAGGTACTACATATACGGCAACAAATCAATCTGTGTCATGTGCCCCAGACATAGGCTTGGCTCAGCAAGACGATTCCTCTGACGAGCTGGAGTTTTCCACGTGCGATCCAGAAGACCCAAAGCACCACCTGGAGCCCGAGACAGATGCCATTTTTGAAACACCCGGCAGCTTGTTCCTTGACGAGGATCAGGAAGACTGGGACCTGTTCAGCGAGATCACAGCCTGCTACCAAAGCAAAGCGCGGACCGCCGCCAGCGCGGACAGCTACGAGCTGCTGGAGGAGGACGGCTCCTTCTGCTCCCTGGGCTCCATCCGCTCGCTCAGCCCAGCCCGGGATCGCTGCTCCTCGGAGCCCAGCGTGTGCCTCAGCTCCCAGCTGCCAGCACAGAGCCACGAGCCGGTGGCCCGCCAGTCCAGCTGCGATGCCACCATCATGAGCGGCCACACTGACTACATGCACAGGCTCAGGCAGCTGCAGATGGAGAGCCAGAAGCTGATYGATGAAGGGTTAAGTCCTGGGGTTAATAAGGCCAGGCAGAACTTGTGGCAATCGCCTCAGACCGGCYCCAGGGTGAAGCAGCTCAGCCTTCAGAAGTCCAGCCTGTCCAACAGGTCCAGCTTCTCCAGCCTGTCCTCTACCACCACCTCCCCATCTGCCTCCTCACTCAGCTCCTTAGACAGTGCCTTCTCCTACTGCTCAGAGTCATCAGCCATTAGCCCCACGGATGTCTCATCCCTGCCATTCATGTTTGGCACTTCTGCCAGGCTTCGTGCTGTGTCTCCCACGGCTGCCAAGAGGTACCAGAAAGAGTGGCACAAATCCTTCCCATCTCCTGTGCCTTTACACCCCTGCAATCTGGACAGTTTTCACGAGGATGAGCCCAAGGCTGGGGAGAGCAGTCATTGCTTTGGAGAGCAGAAAAGTTTTCCATGTGCCAGCAGAGCTGCCGTGGGAAGCCCAATCACTGACATTGACTGGGAAGAAAAGGAGAGGCAGCTGAGCTGTGCAGGGTGCCCTGGCCCAGGGCTCAGGAGCCAGGATTTTACCAAAGAATCTAAACAAAGCCCTGAGCTCCCAGCTGCCAGCCCATCCAGTGAGACATCGCCACAGGTCAGCCACCAGCAGCACAGGGAGAAGACAGTGAAGAACATAGAAATYAAAAGTGTGGATGGCTGCCCTCTGAGCCCCGAAGGCCTGAAGCGCACCAAGATAACTTTTTATGTGGCCCCAAATAAAGAAAGCCCCTGGGGGTCTCAAGTGGGAGAAGATGAACAATGTGTGGCAAACACCAGCAGCACAGACTCGCCCAGCAGCAGCAGCAGCGAGCAGAGCTTGTCCAAGAGCCTGCAGACTGTGAGAGTCCACATCCCCCAGACCGTTTTCTATGGGCAGAACACTCCCCTGGTCCTGCAGTCCATCTCCAGGCGCCACCACCGTGACCCCACGGTCCCATCCCTGCAGGCTGAGCACAGAGAGAGCCCCCAGAGCGCCTCAGCTCCCGAGGAGCTGGAGGGACAGCCAGAGGAGATGGCGCAGGCGCCAACCCAGAGCAAGGGCTTTGAGACTTTGAGCCACACCATCCGCATCATCCTCCCCAACTCCATCCGAAACACCATCAAGGAGTATTTCAGGCACGATGAGACCCAGCCCTGCCCCACAGCCACGGTGGAAGCAGTGGAGAATGAACTCCTCCGGAGCAGGGTGGGGTGGCTCAGGAGCCAGCCCCTGGCAGAGGTGGCCGCAGAGGAGTGTGACAAAGCCGTGTTTGCAGAAGAGACATTTGTCTAAGGCCATGGAGGGGGAGGAACTAAATAATTTTTTTTGTGTATGTGCAGCAGAAAATATTCTGTAATATATGATCAGGGTGTGAAGAATTTAGCAGGCTGCATGGGGCAACAAGTGTAAAGTGAATCTAATTTGTATGTAATGGTGGGGTTCAATATTCATTTTGGGGGGTGGGGGGGAGCTGTTCTTGTGTTTTCTTTATGCCCTTTTCTGATGGAAGAGGCTTCACTGACTGGGGGTGTGGTGGACTAAATACCACCAGGCTCTCTCTGTCCATGGATCAGCTGACCTGTACAGGCTCTGACTCCATTTTTTTTATAGCAGGAAAAGAGAAATGTTGCTTTATTTTCTCCAGTCAGCTGCTGCTGTRTGTGGATGACTGGACAACTGGGACAGCTAATGCTCCATCAGAATTAGTTTAAAATCTTTACACTTGCACAAAACCCACCATTATTCACTGCTCACCACCACTCATCCAAAGGAAGATCCTTCACCTCCATTCCAGAAATCACTGCTGCTTCACTCTGCTCGGCTGCTGTCCACTGTGGTCTAGCTCAAAGCCCACATCCATTACCCAGTTGAGGCTGGGCTCCAAAATCAGCAGCTAGAGCCCAGCATCCACTGACAGTATATGTAACATTTTAAGCCCAAGATTGCTTTTTTCTAGAATTAATTGTGCAGTGATTCTTTCTTCTCATCCCTTCCCCCAAGTTAGCATTTGACAGAGACACAGCTGCTATAAAGGATTTTTAGCACTGTCACTTTGACAGGGCTATGAATGTTCTTCAGTGTCCTCTGGRAGTCGCTCAGCAGACAGGAGTTTGAGTCCTAGTGAAAGATGACAATTTTCTGTCAATGCCCCTTCCTAGAGGCGGTGTGGGTGAGGGAACTCATCAAATTCCTAGTCATGCTGAGAGGGTCTTGAACAGAGTTTGGTTTTAGCACGAGGTGAAGGAGTTGTGGAAGTTGTGGAATGTTGTGGAGTAGAGGCTGAAGCAAAGTCCCATCAGTCCATACCCTGGAACTGCCCAGGCTCCATCACTGATGCTGGCTCAGAGAAACACGGAGCTCTCACACAGCACAGGATGTGTTCTGGTGTGCTCCAGCAGMATTGGGTTTGGGGAAATACCAGCCAGGGATGCTCTAAGCAGGCTGCTGGCAAGGACCACCAAAGAGATGCAGCCAGTGGGCTCCTGRAGCATCCCTGAGTCCACTCAGAGCCATGCTCAGGCCACAGACATAATGGGATTTGTTAGAGAGTTGTAACGCTGCCAGCTGAGTTCTAAAAAGGTGCTGAGAGCACCACATTAGTGGTGGTGACACCACATCAGTGTCTCAGGTTTTAAGAAAATGATGGGAAAAGTCTCAAAAGTTAAAAGGTTTGGGATAGTTAATTTGAAAGTTACATGGGAGTTTTCTATGATGGCATCTGTGATAGAGACAATACTTTTACAGTGAACAGAGAGTGGGTGAAGGAGAAGAGAAAAAGAGGAATCCTAATGACTGAAGGGGAATGTGAAACAAGTACTCCTGCAAGCTGCTGAGTGTCTGCAAATAGCCAGAGCTGGGGCTGMATGACAGCTGCCATGGTTCAGTCCTTGCACACAGGGGAAAGCCACCTCTGTGAAATTATCCAATGTCAGATCCCTCCACTCATCCACCAGGTGCCTGTGAGGATCAGTGACAGGAACTGGCCCAGCACTCCACATTCACACTATCAAATACTGGGGTAAGGGAAGCCCAGAGCCCACTTTCCAAGGTGTATAGAGTTTGTTTTGTTAGATGCAGGGTGTTTAGCTCTCAGATGTGGCACTCTCTGTCCCAGATCACCTTTGTGACCCTTTGTATAATGAAAGGTGTATATAATCATAACACAACCCCACCACCACTGTGATTTTCCTCACACATGAACAGCAACAAGGCATCCACGGTCTTTTTTTTCCCAGAGCTACAGTTGTAACTGTTTTAATAAAAGACACACAAGTTGTCGTGGTGGTGTTGTCGCCTTTTGTTCCCTTGCTCTTGCTCCCCTTTTTCCCAGCAATTTGCAAGCACTGAACTGCTGTGAAATGCATTAATCCCAGCCCAGGGGCTGCCAGAGGGGCCACGATGACAAGAAACCTTCTGCCAGCACAGCGGTCCAGTCACTACTCCTGTCTTTTGAAAAAGGTAAAACAGCACAAAATATTATAAGAAAAGTCTGCCTGTTCTTGGAAGAGAGACCATTCTGTGTTCTAAACATGCTAACAGATTGTAAACTCAGTGGTTGGGCTCAGGTCAAACAAAGGGGACCTGGAGCAAATGCAGAGTAAGAGCTCACAGTTTGCATCACCTAAAAGGATCACAAGAAACTCAGAAAGAGATGCGTTTATAGGAACACTGGGACAGGCAGGGAAAAACACACAATTTTCCTCACCTCATCTTAGGCTGCCTAATATGGGCACAGTTCCCTGGGTCGCTGCTCTAACCCAGAGCTGTATTAAGCATTTTTCTTAATTTATAACGAAACAAAATCATGCAAAAGCTAATGCAAACCAGCATTCTAGGCTTGGAAATTTGCAGTACCTCTTTTCCATGACCCAGGCAATAATGCAACTCAGAGACCAGTCTTGAAAAAGTTCCACAGAACCCAGTTTGCTTATAACAAGAAATTACAAATACAAAAACGCTTGGTTGGCTTTCTGCCCCAGAAAGGCCACATTTGCCCTTAATGTACAGCCCTGAGACACAAAGGTTTCCCTTCTTTCTCTGCCCTTTTTYAGATCATTCAGACCACGCTGGGCTGTCCCACACTGAAAGCCCTGCTCACTGCCCCCCATGCAGTCTCTGGGGAAGTTGGGTTACATGGTCACCATCCAGGCAGTGAGGAGCCTTCAGGACCTGCTCCCAATATAGACCAAGGCCAAACAAGTCCAGCTCAACTGCCTTGAAGACAAATGACTCATGCAGTTCAGCCTCTTCTTCTTTCTGCTCAGGATCTATGATTTCTTTCCTTATCCTGCAGGCTGACAAACACCACAGAAGTGCCCGAGGCAGCTGTAGTTTGCTCCAGCCTTTTCAATTCTATTTCTGGTGTTAGCAGAAGGAAGGCAGGGAGGTGAACAGAGACCATGGCACACCGACCACAGCTGTGGCACCCCGAGACAGAGCCAGGCACTGCCAGTGCCAG